CCTTTAAAGATCTACAATCTTTGTTGCTCTGTAGTTGTTCCGGGACGTTGTATTTGTAATTGTTTAATTGACCTTACAATAGAATAGAGTGAAAAGAAAGCCCAACGCGGCAAAATTGAAAATGTTGCAGGCTCGGTTTGATTGAGCCTGTTCATGGACGGTACTGTCAAGTGCAAACTACCGTCCACTCCCCCTAGCACCGGCTAAAGCAGAATTCAACATTAAACATGAACTGGTAACATTTAGAATTTTGAAACATCCGCAGATGTGTTCATATGGCGGTTATCATTGAACCTTCAATTAGTTTAATTATTGTACATACTGCATGAGGGTTATCAGTAGTAAGATTTTACATTACTGTCTGTTCATAAAGCAGAATCTAAAGTCAGTGACATATTGACATTACCTAAAAGATCAACAGCTCGTATGGCAAAGCTAGAGCTTCCAGCAAATGAAGAGAACTTTAAGCATAATTTAGGTCATTAAAAAGAAAGTTTTTTTCGTTGTTGGGAGACGCGAAAGCAATGTGAAAGATTACAAAATATGATAAATAAGATCAACAACAAAAGGCGGCGTTCAATGAACGCAACCCCCATATGATCCAGCAACAAGAACCAGTGGCAAGGAGCCCAGGCGGACCCCTAACAAAATCAGGGCAAAGACAGAGCACGGCCAGGTTAATCATTAAAATTAATGATAAATAAATTGTAACTGATTAGAAAAATTACAAGTTTACAAGCTAATTACCGTGAAAATTCTGTAAGAAGTTCATACTGAAAAAGACATCGTGGCTTCAAAATTTCACCATTTTCGTGTTAAATGTTGAATTCTGCTTAAGCCGGTGCTAGGGGGCGTGGACGGTAACTTGCACCGGACAGTACCGTCCATGAACAGGCTCAATCAAACCGAGCCTGCAACATTTTCAATTTTGTTGTGTTAGACTTTCTTTAGGGATTCTGTTTTTCTCTATTTTATAAAAAGGATAAATACAGAATCCCTAAAGAAAGCCCATTAACGGCTTATATTAATTTCTTGATATATATGATCAGTACATGTGCTGGGATTGACAAATATGCATGTTATTTGGATTTTAAAGGCGTTTTGAGCTCCAAACCCCAAGTGTCTGTGATAGCGATTATAAACACATATTTGGCTTCTACCAGGCAGATTCATCGCCACCACTTGCAGGTTGCACACGTTCGATGCTGCACTATAGACTTCACCAACTTGCGTATTTAGCCTCGCTCATTAAGAATGTGTGAGCTGAAAAATACTTTAGAATATGTCATTTATATATTTGATGATGATTTGTCCAAATCTAAATAAATAATATAACCTATAAAAAAACTGAATGTATGGAATGATTAACATAGAGAATGTGGGCAAACTTATTTTACAATCGTAACTTTGATTTAATTTCTAAATTCAATAGTGATTTAAAAACTCTTCTGCGACAAGGGATTAGCCAGCCTGGTTTTTATGAGGATGTGATTTACAAACTTCGCAAGATTATGAGTCATGGTAATTTCTCTGCTGTTTTTACTAAAATCATTAAACGTTTTATTAAAAGAGGTTATGACTCTACTATTTTAAGACATACTGCATGTTTAGTGTTCAACCCTTTTACAGTTGGACACTACGCTTTCCTCTTTTGATTGCATCTGACGGACCAAGTGGGAGACTCTATGATGGATAGTTCGTAAAGCCCTTTGGGACTGAATTGTCTTAATGTTCGTCTTCTGCCTTGCTTCGTCAGGCCCTTGTAGGTGATTTTCTTGTTGCTCTGTCTTCCTTTAGGACATTGAGTACTTTTGTTATGGTCATTGGGTTTACTTTTATATGTTTCTACATGATCATTTTAGTGTTTTACATATTTAACCTTTTGTAACCATGACAACTGTTAGAATTTCACTTGGCGGGGATTCATTTTATTTACACTGTTTCGTTTATAGGAACATGGTGGGGCTAAGAGCGAGGTTTGGTGCACCATTAACCGGTTTAAACTCCCCAGTAGTCATTATTATGCTGCTGACCGTTCCAAGGCGGCGCCACACTGTGTTCCTCAGATGCATGTCTATGTTGTTTCATACTTTTTTGGTGACACTTTTGCGTGTGTCCCTTGTTGTTTTCTCGTCTACGGTAAGTATCTTCCCCTTTGCCTCTAGTTTTCATTTCTTTGATTACCCCCCCCCCCCCCTTCCCCCGGTCTCCTGTCCCCTTCCCCTTTGTGTGCCTATTATTATTTTCTTTGAATTCCTAATCAGTTACAAATTATTTATCATTTAATGATTAACCTGTCTTTGTCCTGTCCTTTTTATGTTTGGGGTCCGCCTGGGCTCCTTCCCATTGGTTCTTGTTGCTGGGTCATATGGGGGTTGCGTTCAGTGAACGCCGCCTTTCATTGTTGATCTTGTTTATCATATTTTATGGACAAAAGCATTCTTTTACTTGGGGACCATACGCCGCTTTTCATGGAATGACACGGAAGTGTCACATTGAAGGTTCCATGACAACCGTCGTATGAACACATCTGCGGATGTTTCTAAATTCAAAATTTCGCCATTTACGTGTTAAATGTTGAATTCTGTTTAAGCCGGTGCTAGGGGGCGTGGACGGTAACTTGCACTTTCCAGTACCGTCCATGAACAGGCTCAATCAAACCGAGCCTGCAACATTTTCAATTTTGTTGTGTTGGACTTTCTTTAGGGATTCTGTTATTCTCTATTTTAGTAAATAACTAATAAATAATGAAATAATTTGAAATAATGACTTATATAATGTCCACAAACAATTAAGATTTTAACATAAAAACAACCCACTTTAATCAATAAGTATAAACAGCAACTTAAATGTTAAACTGTCAAACCCTCGCTCCTGCAAAGCAATGTCGAAGACACAGGACATTCCTTTTCGAGTCTTGCATGGAAAATGGTTAACGTGCACATAGTGTTTGGCTTCAGCAATATGGATTTACTTTTCTTCAAAAAGAATAAAGCACTAGCTTAACGCAGTCCCCACATGACCCAATGGAGGGGGAAACCAACGCTGAACGCTGAACAATCCCTTGAGGATGAAAATATAACAACATTGATTGCATGTAAGGGGGGACTTTTTACAGCCGCCACACGGCAAAAACAACACGGTTGTGAGCATAAAATATGATAAACAAGATCAACAAGGAAGGGCGGCGTTCAATGAACGCAATCCCCACATGACCTACTTGGAGGGTGACACCAACACTGAATGCCGAACAATCCCTTGAGGATGAAAATTTAACAACATTGATTGCATGTACGGGGAGACTTTTTACAGCCGCCACACGGCACAAACAACACGGTTGTGAGCATAAAATATGATAAACAAGATCAACAAGGAAGGGCGGCGTTCAATGAACGCAACTTGCCCCCCACACATGAACCACAAGTCAAATTTTCAAATAAGAATATTTGCAGTACACATTAAAGTGTTATGCTTACCTTAAAACACTTTCCCTGTATGGATGACTGTTTATATCAATAAGTTACTTCGGATTTCGTCTTGTTGTCTTTTCACTAGGTTCCATCAAGATGGCGGCTTAGATCTTGCTCGTCATGCACGGACTAAATCTCGTCTATCCGGTATTGGAATCTTCCGGATATGGTCAGACTATCATATCTCACCACACTCCCCCCGACTTTAAAGACGAAGTCTTCTCCCTGGAAGTGTACACCCCGAGACTCTTTAGTCGACTCCTGGGTTACAAACCAGTACACACTTGACCGCCTTTACAGGCGTTGGCCTGTAAATACAGATGATTATCAATGTCAAGCGTTAGCAAGACAGATTACCATGCTGTTATTTACCATCCATCAAGTTATTGATAGAAAGTTCTCCACTGGATCATCTTCCTGGGCACTATTTAACAGCGGCCAACATCCAGCTCCTAAGCTCGTTAGAACTTAGAACCCCAAGTTTATTACTTACCTCCATACAAAACCCTGGCGTTAGCCACAGTCTTACGAAGTAATAACACCTGGTCTTCTTGTCGCCCCTCGGCAACTACAGCAGCAGTCATGCCAATTAATATGGGAGCGGAATATCTTGTTCTATGTCGAAACTTCGGCTTCGGCCGCTTTTCATGGAATGGCACGGAAGTGTCACATTGAAGGTTCCATGATAACCGCCGTATGAACACATCTGCGGATGTTTCTAAATTCAAATTTTTACCATTTCATGTTTAAATGTTGAATTCTGCTTAAGCCGGTGCTAGGGGCGTGGACGGTAACTTGCACTTTCCAGTACCGTCCATGAACAGGCTCAATCAAACCGATCCTGCAACATTTTCAATTTTGCCGTGTTGGGCTTTCTTTAGGGATTCTGTTGTTATCTATTTTATGATCACATTCCGTGTTATTTGTGCCGTGTGGCGGCTGTAATAAGTCTCCCCGTACATTTAATCAATGATGTTATATTTTCGATCCTTGAAGATCGTTCAGCACGACATTATTGTTATGCTTGTGGTATTTTTAGTTCCAATTTTTCGGCATTTTCTAGTTGGGTGGTTCCATTATTCCTACTTGAATAATGTTGAATCACCCTTAGGATATGTTGCCTGCTTTTAAAATTTGTCTTTTGACGTCTTATCTGTGATACGCAGGCTTCATAACCTCTGATCCCCTTTCAAAATTCCATTTTATTTAGTTCCGCCCATTGTTTTCTCGTTTAGGGCACGTGCCACGCTTTTTATTACTTGGGGACCATACGCCGCTTTTAATGGAATGGCACGGAAGTGTCACATTGAAGGTTCCATGATAACCGCCGTATGAACACATCTGCGGATGTTTCTATATTTAAAATTTTACCATTTCATGTTAATGTTGAATACTACTTAAGCCGGTGCTAGGAGACGTGGACGGAAAATTGCACTTTCCATTACCGTCCATGAACAGGCTCAATCAAACCGAGCCTGCAACATTTTTAACTTTGCCGTGTTGGGCTTTCTTTAGGGATTCTGTTTTTATCTATTTACTGTTACCCCCGGAGAACTGGAAGTATGGATCATCTGTCTCAAGAAGGATTCTGCTATCTTGTACAGCTCTTAATCCCCATAGCTGAGTTTCATCGAACCGGTCAACTAATCTGGAAAAACCAAAGTAGGTGTTCGGGAAGACCGACGTCCACTCTTTGACCATGCTCTCCGAGCTAGTAAAACAGTGAAGATGGATGATTTGTTCCTTTCGAACCCTGGGCTGAAGATGAAACAGTAAAGTCATGTAGGCTTCACTGGTATCGCCTGTACGCGCCATGCTTCTACAATGGATGATCAAAACATGCCTGTCCTGAAGAAAGCTCAAAGCACTGTTAAGGATCCTTAGTTGGCTCCCCCAGAACTCTGGTGACACTGTGTGGTCAATGCCAACCTCTCCAAGACCGACAACCTCTGGCATCTGTAGAAGGGATTCCATCCGCTTCAATGTGTCATCTGTAACCTCGCCGATATCCTTATGATGCAGACCGATAGTTACAGACACTCTTTGGTAAAGTTTCCTTACCAAATCTTCGGAGGGGTAAGTAGCTGGGTCACAGAAGTTGGCCACAGCTCCCACAAGGTTTACTCGATGGTAGGGGTCACCAGTCGCCTGATTTATTTCGGCTAAACTGGCTCCACGCATACGCATCACTCCTTGCAATCTATCCAGGTGGAAGTGGCTATCAAATCCCTTTGGTACATCGGCTGGGGCTTTGGTAGGCTCTGAGGGCTCCTCAGAGTAATGGAACTGCTCCATCAGACGATGATAGCTATGATAACAATCAATACGCGCCACTGGATGAGAGCTGCAAAAGAATTCATTGGCGAGATGACGAATCGCTCAGGGAGTTCTTGGAATGATTCCCGAGACATATCCTCCATCTCCTCCTTTAATCTGTTTGACACCTCCCGGTTACTGTCACGAGGAACTTGCTCAGTGCTGTTAATGTACTTTACCAGGTCCTCGAGCTTGGCTCGATTACCCAGCAACCAACCAGTCATCAGCTTGAGGGCTGCTACACGTTTTCGTGTCACTTCCTCCAATTCCCTCCCCTCCTTGAAAAGATTAGGGATGTGGTGTTGGAACGCATGACTCTTCGGATACGCATTTGGAATGTCGCACTCCGGAATCAAACATGGTTACCTACGTTCCATTCTCCGTCCCATATCAGTTTCAGACTTCCTGGAAGACCTTTGCTGCTGAACTGATGATGGTCTACACCTTTCTGGGTTAGGTACAGTTATCTGTATCTTGCCTTTTTTTCTCGGTGGTAGACCGCCTTGTCCCGTCTTTACTGGATGCTGCTGCATGTGACCGTTCCTTAGAGCGACTACCAACCACCTAAGGAGTTGTCCCTTGGTGGGAGCCGCGTCCAGGGAAGAACTTCCTCTTGTGACGCATTCAACGGAGGACGTTTGTCCCGGTCAGAATGACCTCGCCTTCGGTTTCTTGGGAATAGCACCACTGCTGACATCTCTGGATTCAGATCTGTCGTCCCTGGAGCTTACATAGCTCAACTGACCAGACAAGTCAACAGTCATGCCACGTCCGCAAGGCAGCATTCCCTCCTTGTCACTCCTGTGACGATGACGTCTTCTTGGTCGTCTTCGACTTTTTGTGGAGACATCAACGTCTTTCTCTGACGGAACACGTTTCTTTACCGGAGAAGGATACCTAACTGGAGATATCGTACCTCGATGTTCCGGTGAAGTAGCCGGAACAGCCAATGATTGTTCCATAGAAGGGACCGTTTCATTGGAACTGTCCACTTCCATGGTCTCGGTTGCCGGAGATGTGCTTAGCACGACCTCAACAGCTTCCGGACTGCCCACAATATCAACTGCACTCTGATAAAAGATTATCTTCGGTGCCCGATGATATTGATGACGACGCCTTTTCTTCTTCTTGTTGTCTTTTCTCTAGGTTCCATCAAGATGGCGGCTATCTTGCTCGTCATGCACGGACTAAATCTCGTCTATCCTGTATTGGAATCTACCGGATATGGTCAGACTATCATATCTCACCACAACATTTTACATTTTCTTCGATGTTTGAAATTGTTTTATTTGCATAATTATATACATATATAATTTTTTGCAAGTGTGGAACACACACAGTAACAATATCAATCACAGAACATACAAGATCTTTAAGTAGCCTTACTGGCGGAGGAGGACTCCAGGTGTCCCTCTGTACATATTTCAAGCACGAACACTCCTACCTAGCCACTTGTTCTTGTTGCTAGGTCGTTTGGGGTTTGCGTTCGCGTTGAACGCCGCCTTTCCTTGTTGATTTTGTTTATCATATTTTACAATTCGATGCTAATGTTGAGTGTGTGTTACAGAGTGACAGATTGACAATTCATCAAAATACATGCATGCGCAAGGCTGTGCAATACCATTTAATTGATTGTAAAATGATATGAGTTATCGATAATTGACATTTAAATTTTGATTATGTAATTTTGCCCAAGATGACTCATGGACTGAGAGAATTAAGGCTCTAGTTATTTTAGGTCCAAGTTACCCTAATTTAGCGGTATACTATATATCCGGACACAGTTTCTTCCTGCATGAAATGCAAGCTATCTAGGTTAATTTACATGTATTTTCTTATCTGTGAATATATTATAACTTTAAGTTGATCACTTGTTAAAATTGATCTTAAAAGCATAAAATGTTGATAGATAACTATGTTTATGATCACATGAAACAAACCAAATGTGTAAGTTTTATATATGTACCAAGCTTGGTATTGACTGCAAAACAAGTCCGACTTTCCTATTTTCCCTGCGGGTATTTTCCATACGGTACACAGTTAATAAAACCACAATTTACATGTTGACACTGGACTTAAAGATATCAATAAAGGCCTTAATTAATTTCTTTTTGAACATATAACGTCAGTGGAACTGGTCCCAATCTGCACGATTTGGAAAACTTTAATCTTTCAAGAAGCCCGAAAAGTTTGATGATTCGATGCCCAATTTTCTAATGTTGTATACGATTCCGGCCAGCAAAAACTTCAGAAGAATCACCACCTGTTCCTTACATAATTATGCTCAAAAATAATTGTTTCAAATCTTTTATTCTTATTTGTTTTCTTTGCGTATTGGCCAAATTGTATTCTCTGAAAACTGAGGTAACAAACGCTAAAGATAGGGTTTGCGAAAAGTGAAAACATTAGGCGAGGGCGGCTCCGTGTCTTCTACTACGTTCAACGACATTACCCTTTATTAAGCGATTTATTAGGGTCCGTTATTCTTATAGTCACTTGAAAGCTAACATGAAAATCATTTCTACAAAAAGCGTTTCCATTTGCAAAAAAATAAGTCCTTAATGTTATACCACGTGTTCACATTTGTCAATTATTATATATATTGTGTTGTAATGGTCATAAATAATTAAAAATCAAATCGGGATTTATGGCTCTGCCAATAATTGAAAATATTATGTCTAGCACTAATCTAATAAGATAAATAAAATGTAATATAAAGTATATCCATTATTGTGGCTCAAAATAATTCACTTGATATTGCAGACGTATTGTATGGTATACTATAAGGGAAACATATTACAAAGCTAGATGACATTATTCCTCATATACCCTTTAATTATATCTGACTGAATAGGCCTTAGTAATTTTCAATTAGCAAGACGTCATAACAAACGGAAGCTGTCTATTACCCAGTTGATGTATTGACCGGAATGATTCTTACAGTCTTGACTGACAGATTAATTGTGCGATTGTCAGAAGTCAGACTGGTATTCCAGCACTACGAATAATAATATACAATATGACATTAAAAACATTTCTAAAATGTCTTTGTTTGGTCAATTTATTTGAGTTGACTAGGAAAAAAGTATTTTTTATATTATTTAAGTAAGTATGTGTTCATATCAATGATTAGCACAAACTTTTGAAAAACCATACGATTAAAATTAAAGTTACCAGTTGATCTTTAATAAAACGTGACAGCAATATCATAATTACCATCTAAATAATACAGAAAATATATGAAAGTCAGGCAAATAAGTAGGCAATGGCTTAAGCTTAACGGATTAGCTTTTTCACATGTAATCACTACTATGACGTTTTAAAGAGTGATTTAAAAGTCCTGCAAGAATCAATTTTAGTATCACAATGGAACAGAAATGCACATTCCTAATGTGTGTTAAAATTAAAACAGCAACGTACGTGTACATAGATGTACGAGGTATGTTCAAAAAATTCGTGGACTTTTGCTGTCATTTTTTGCTTGGTTCATAAAAACACCTTAAGTGGATATGAATCGAAAGAGTGTTTTTATTTCTACAAGTAAGATTTACTTTTATTTTAAACTTATATTTCCTTTACGAGTTAAGTGCACTTTAATAACCAGGGCAACGCAACATCGGCGCACGCCAAAATTTTCGTATAATGTTAAAATATAAACGAATGGTGAAACAAACTGAATGATTGTTTTATGAAGTAAAATACCAGTAATCATCTACTAATACTTAAATGACATAAATCTGAAATTTAACGTCGTTTGGACGTTGAATAGCCTGACACAAACAGGTTTGAGTAGCAGTAGACAGAACGGGATTAGTTTGGGAGTATAAAGCCCGCATTTAAAAACTCAGAAATTCGCTCTTTCGGAAATTTTTACCAATAAATTTGGGAATAATCCTTCATATTTTTATGAGGTGATTAAATTATCAAAGAACAATGATTTGGGCGAAGCAAATATGTTGGTTTTCAGGTCGCCCAAGCGATTCCAAATACGGCAAATACATGCTCACAGACAGAAAGGGCGACGGAGAATTTTTTAGCGGCAAATTGTTGGGACGTTTGTAACGTCAATTGCAAAAATTCTAACGAAGTCCAAGAAGTATGAAAGGTTTGCGAGATGTCCGACATTTTTTGTTAATTTCTGCATCGGGTCTACGGATTCAAAATCTGCACAAAAACCAATTTAATTTAATTAAAATAATTATTTTATTTCATTCATTCAGGAGTATATGCGTATCTACAAACCAAATAATTTATTTGTATTGGACGTTGGTATTTTTTAAAAAAACCCTTGGGGGGGGTCCCCTGTTTTATAATTAAATACTAGCCGGTGTTCAGTAGATTTACCGCATTGAATTATTGTCAGTTGGTAAAATATTTCCTTTATCATTGATATTCATTTTGTTTAAAGATCGGACAAGGGCGGTTTCAAGTTGATACTATAAATCAACAATTGAATTAACTTAATAACACTGTCCGTTAGGTGTCGAAATTACTCAAAAATCCCGATAAAGAGCGGAAAGGATGCGGCACTCGGACCTATACACGGAGAATGGAGCAAAATGATTACCACTTTATATCTCGGGTCATCATCACAAACAGAAAAATGGTTTTGGTATATGATCCGCAGATATTGAACACTAAAAAGAGTACTTTCAGAAACAATGACGCTGTAAAAATGTTCATTTATATTGCGACGTCACAAACGTCATTTTTGTTTCAACTCATCAGCGTGCGCCGGTTTGTGCACCCCTTGTGATTTGTTACTGTCACAGAATTGTTATCTGTAAACATATTGTATTGAATTTTTCACTGTTTATTAAGGACATATTTTCATATATGTCTCTTGTAAAATCATATACGCAAATTAAAAGATGTGAACAGTAGAGCCGCAGTCCACGAACTTTTTGAACAGCCCTCGTACATGTAGCAGGGTTGTTTGAAATATATTTTAGCACACTTAAGGAAGAGAGATACTGGTA